GACAACGGCATCGGCGTCGAGTTCACACCGCCTGGCGTTCCGCAGTACAACGGCGTCGTCGAGAGCGCCATCTGGCGCATCAAAAAAGGCCGGCATGGCCGCTCGCCGCAGCGCTGGCCGTGTGTTCAACGTCGACTTCGCCTCCATCCCCGGCCTCGACGAGCGCGGTGACCGTCGTTGGATGGAATCGGCGAAATGGGCCGCCGACGCTCTCAACCAGTCGGCGACCAAAGCTAACCCCGGGCGGCGCTTGCCGCACGAGATGTTCACCGGCGAGCAGGGGCCTTTCCGCGTGCTGCCGTTCTTCCAGCCCGGCTTCATGCGTGAGGATCGCCGCACCAAGCTCGACGACCAGGCCACCCTCTGCTACTACCTGAACGGCGGCGACAACCACCCGAGCAGCACCGTCAAGGTCATCAAGGCGTCCACCGGCCGCGTCGTCTACACCAACAACGTGTCGTGGGTGACGTCGGCGCCACCCGGCGAGGGGGGTTCCGCTGGTATCACCGCTGCGCCGACACCCCCTCCGTTCACGCCGCCGGTCGTCTCGATCAACTTTGGCCCAGCACCGACGCCTTCGACCGCCACATCGCCGCCGCCAGCGTCCACGCCGTCGCCCGTTCCCGCTCCCGCTACTGCTTCGCTCCCTGCCGCTGCCGCAACGCCGCCGCCAGCGACCACGCCGCCGCCCGCTCCCACTCCTTCACAGCCTCTCTCTGCTGCTTCGCCGTCACCGTCGGCGACCCTCGCTCCTGGCCAGACGTCCTCTACCGCTTCGCCGTCACCGTCAGCGACCCCCGATCCAGACCAGCCGCCGTCGCCGCCGAACCCCGCGATGCCCCCGCTTACGGCTCACGCCATGCGGCAGCTTCGACCGGGTCCAAAGGCCGAGGGTATGACAGACCAGCGGCTGCCAACCCGTACGAGATTGGGCACTAGGCACAGCACAGGACATATCTCGATGCTAGACAAGAACACCCTGGTGTCGATGCTGAAGGCTCGGAACGCGGTGGATGAGGAGCGCAGGGAGCTGGGGGGAGCAGGGGCCGGAGAGCAGGCGGGAGCACTCGCAGCGGCGGACCCGGGGGCTGAAGGAGCGGGCTTTCCACTCGCATTTGCCATGCTCCTCGCCAACCGGGAAGACATTGACGCCACGCTGCGAGACCAGCGCCCGCCGGAGCAACGCCCTGACCTTCCGCACTGCCAGGCCAGCGACCTTCGTGTTCCAAAGAGCTACAAAGAGGCTATGGCGTCGGAGCACCGGCACCTGTGGAGCGACTCCATGCAAAGGGAGTTTTATGGCTTGTTGGAAGCGGGGAACGCAGTCAACGCTAAGTAGGTATTCGATTGGGAGGCAGATGAGTTTGGATGGCCCATTAAGGTTAAGTCGAGACTTGTAGCGAGAGGTGATATGCAGAGAGAGTACATTGACTTTGGAGAGTGGTACGCACCGACCGTTTCTGTTTCGTGTGTTAGGATGTTGACTGCTTTGGCGTGCGAGTTGAAACCTCGACTTGTGTCATTTCGATATTGAGCAAGTTTTTGTGCGTTCGGAGTTGGACAAAGACGTGTACATGCGTTTGCCGCAGGGATGTGGAGCTCTATCTGGAATGATTGTAAAAGTAGGCAAGAGTCTGTATGGCTTGAGACAGGCATCTAGGCAGTGGCATGCAATGCTGAAGAGGTGTTTGGTGACGTAGTGAAGGAGATCTTGTTTTTGAGGCAAATTTGGCGTTTCATGTTGCCGCAGGTCGGCATGCCGTGCATTCCAGTCTTCGAGGACAACCACGGGGCGATTCAACTAGCGCAGAACCCCATCTCAAACTCGAACTCGAAGCACATAGATGTAAGGCACCATTTTGGGAACTGGTAGAGAGGAAGGAAATTTCGGTGATCCACGTGCCGTTGCCATACCAGCGTGCAGATTTTCTTACGAAGAGCTTGCCGAAGGACACTTTCGAGTCTCACCGTCATTTTGTTATGAATTTGGCATGAACATTTACTGTTTTTCTGGTGGGTTGTGCGTTGGTTTTGCTTTCATTTTCCGCGCCAAGTATTCATTACGCGCGATGCAGCATTCATTCATGTTTTTTTAACGATTTTTCTTTCAAATATTTTGGTATAGTCTTCATGGCATAGACTATATTCTTGAAAATACGTCTTTGGGTGAGATATCGGATGTTAGCGAAGTTTTCAGTGAGAAACTGTTGCGAGCAGGGGGGATGTTAGATATACTCGCAGCAGTACCTGGTCGTGAGGATCCCAAGGGGATACGTGTTGGGAATTTCGTGCGTTGTAGGGTACCACCGGTGCAGTCACGGGGACCCTTTCGGCGCAGTTGGAACGATAAGACTTGCGTGCGTGTTGCGCACTCTTTCTTCCTTCTCTCCTTCCACCGCTACCGCTACCGCCGTCTTTCTCCAATCAAGAGTCCTTCTCCCACTCTCTCTCCACCTCTCTCTCAACCTCTCACTCTCGGCCTAACGCGGCCGACTATCCAGTGCCCCAAGTAACGCCCAGGACGGGCTTGCTGCACCCCGCGTAGTTTACCTTTCAAGACTGATGACCAGCAATTTAGTCCACCTCGAGATGTTCGACCGATGTCGAGAGGTCGCCTTCCGTGACATGTCAAGGGGGAGATTTGGGCCTATACTGAGTGAGACCAGCCACTCAGAAACCTCGGCAGGTCCTCAGCGTCATGCGGGTTGGCCCACGACTTGCAGCGCGCGACCGAAACACGACGTTTCGAGCATTCGCCCGGCAGGTCCTGTTTTATCCTACCACCGGGAGTTACGTCTTCCGCACTTTCCTCAGGGAATTACTCCGCAATACCGTTGACACTGGCTACAATTCAAATCCCACGCCGCAACCCAACCCAATCTACCCAGCCCAACGCACCCCTACAAAACTCATCTCGCTCAACCCCAACCCAAGACCTTACATGTAGCCCAACTACACCCAACCCAGCTTAACTCAACCCATCCCCGGCACGGTCGGACGAGGACGAACCCTACCACACAAGAGCATAAAAAAAAACTTAACCCCCAATACCCTTAATCCCAGCCCAACGACTGCCAGTATGTATTCGTACTTGCTTGCGCTCCTCGCGTCACCCCGGAGAGAGTACCACGACGCACCCCCCGGTAGTGCGAGACGATTGTCGCCCAGCGCCGCCCAGATTCGAGTGGAGGGAATGGCACTCGATCAACGTCCGTCTGAAGGGCTGCCACGGCAAGGAAGGGGAGCCCCTTCAAGACATGGCCACATAATTCTCCTCCAAGGCCAACGGTCCGGCGTCGTCAACGGCGGGCGGGCGGACGGTTAGAGAGCCGAGGAAGAGGTCGACATGAAACCCTGTAGAACGAAAAACTCCCGGTTGGCACATCCGATCCCTCGCCGCAGAGTGGGTACGGGCACGCCAAGGCAGCGACGGCATGAAAGGTATCATGCGAAGCCAGGTTGTAAATCTTTCTTCCCGATGAAATCTTCCTGTGTTCGCACGGCAAAACAGCGCGTCCCTTACCCTTCTTTTGTGCAAAAGCTAAAAATTAGCCTCGCCAGGTCTGCCGTTCGTTGTTGTTGCGGCTGTGTGATTGCGATCTTCTGCCTATCTAGACCATCATGTGCGAGACGTGTGCTGTATGAGCTGTATGAATCGGATCTATCAAATACGTACAGTAGTTGTACACCGCTTTTTTTGAAAAAGCAGAACAGTCTATATGCTGAAATATTGAAGCTTTGCAATTATTGTTTCAACTTTCCGAATGTACTCTCAGTATGGGAGCAAAACGTTGCGCCAAAACGTTTGAAACTTCTTGTCGGAGCAAAAAGCTGCGATCTGGAGAAAACGTTCTGCAACTTGTTTCGCGACGAAGGTGTCGACCAAAAGTTGCGGGGCGAAACTTCGGCCAATCCATGCCAAGCTCCTAGCCCTACACTACAGTACGGGCCCGCAGATAGAAACGCCAAATTCGGGTCGAGTCTCAATCCCTTATTTCGGGTCCAAGGACCAGCCGAAGTCGTTCGTCCCTTGTTCCTTTGGAACGTCGCATACTCCCAATCTTTTTTTTTCGCTTCGTATCTATACTTTTATTTGGCTAAAGAATACATGTACAACGCACACACAAAAATCGGTCATCATACCGCTTTGCCAGGAAGATAGCTAGATAACTCGGTGTAGCCGTTGGTGCGACGAAATGTCTACTCTCTCCCCCATACCAAAAAATGAAACTGTTCAGCTAGGTAGGGGGGTGGGAACACGGAAGGAGCAGCGGTGGGACGTTTCTTATTGGACACGCTCCTATCGCTACCCCTTGTTTCTAATGTCTCGGGGTATCGCACCTTCATGTTTTTTTTTGGAACGTTTTTCTAATATTGTGCCCAAGAGTGAGCTGTGTTTCTTACTTTTCTCTTATTCTTCGTCAGATTGGAGCCTATTTTGCTTACCAGAAGTTTCTGAACTCGGGCACGTACTGCACCGCTCTACATGTGCTTCGTCGACTTGAACAAGGCGTATGAGTCGGTGGACTGAGAGATGCTATGGAAGCTGCTAGCCAGGGCCGGGATTCCCGCGAAGCTGATCGAAGTCATCCGCCAATTCCACGATGGAATGCGGGCCCGGGTGCGCATGGACGACGGAGAACTATCGGACTGGTTCGTCGTGACACAGGGCGTGCGACAAGGATGTGTGCTATCCCCACTGCTGTTCAACATCTTCTTCGCCGAGGTCCTCGAGGTCGTTGTCATCCGATTCAGCGAGGATGATGTTGTTCTGCGGAGCCTGGTGTGCTTGGAGGAGGGGAAGACGGAAGCGGGGGGGGGGGAGGAGACACCCCTTGACCGAGTACGGAGGGCAGTATGGGGGATGCTGTATGCCGATGATGTCGGCGTCGTATCGAGGTCTGCAGAAGGACTGGCGAGAATGATGACCATCATCGTTGAGGTGTTCGGGGAGTTCGGGCTAACGGTGTCGGAGAAGAAGACGGAGACGCTCCTGATGCGCGCAAAGGACAAGCCGACTACAACATCACAGCCCGCCCCGCCTCCACCACTGACCATCGAAGCCGCGGGACAGAAATACGCCCAGACGACCGAGTTCCGGTACCTCGGTGGCCTCGTCAACGAACATGGCGACCTCACCCGGGAGATCAACTACAGGAGCAGAGGAGCGTGGGCGTGCCTCAGGCGATATGGCCGGGAGCTCTTCGACAGACCGCAAGCGCCATTCCGACTCAAGATCCACCTGCTCCAGGCGGAGGCGATGGAGGCACTGCTGTACGGTTGCATGACATGGTCACCACTCAGCGGCCACTATCAGACGCTGCGGTCGATACACCACCGACTGCTCCTTCGAGTTATCGGGTACAAGCGCAAGAAAGACACCTACCGGCAGCTCTCTTACGCTCAGACGCTGAAGAGGGTCGAATGTCAGAGCGTTGAAGCCACGATCCGACAACGACGCCTACTGTTCGCGGGAGCATTGGCAAGGCAGCCGGACGGGCGACTCCCGAAACGACTGATGATCGGCGAACTGGCGGGGGGGAAAAGCAACGTAGGGGGGGGCAGGAACAGAACTGGCCGAAGTGTGTTCTCGTTGACCTGAAGGCATTCGGGGCCAACCACGGATCTACGAAAACCGATCCATGTTGTCCCGGAATCCCGGCGCCGAAATACACGGCACCGAAGTCAAAGTGGACGGAAGCCGCGAAGGTAGAGGGGGGAGTACCCTGGCATGCGGCGGTGCTGCAGGGAGCTGAGAGGTTCATGACCTCCTGGCACGAGAAGGAAGAAGAGGCCAGCCGACAACGGGCGCTCAAACGAAACCACAAGCCACCAACCAATGGGGCGGGAGGGGGGCCGGAGACGGACGAGACGGCGAGGGAAGAAAGCAAACGAGACGAGACGAACCGAGTGGCGCGATACGTGCTGGATTGAATTTATTTTAGCCAATCCCCCCCCCCCCCCCCCCCCCCCCCCCC